TTCAGTATGCCAAATTTTCATGCCTAGAAAGGACTCCATGAACCTGAATTGAGATTAAGAAATTTATCGCTGCTAAGAAAGAAATATACCACATATCCCATCAGTTCTTTCTGATTTTTCCCCCTCTCTACCATACTATGCAAAATCCAACATTTACCAAAGACCTTTATGAAGAGTAAGAGCTGGGAGTCAACAAGGGCTTTCTGTCAAGGGACCCAGAGAGTGGCCTCATCCCTAGATTATCTATAAGAAAAGCATCTCTAACTAATTTGTGTGTGTGTGTGTGTGTGTGTGTGTGTGCGCGTGCGCTTGAAAAAGCCAGTCCTAGCAGCAAATGTTGGAAAACACAAAGATCATGACACATCTTCACCCGGTGAAGTTTTGCAGGAAAGAGGATGGGTATCCTTAACAACATCTGTAATCATTTTTAGTAAAGTCCTACCATCCTGAAAAATAAAATTGAAACAAATTTAAAGAACTATGAAAAATTGTGTTAAAAGAAAACATAGTTGCATTTACATGTTCTCACAATAAGAATGTCTTAGATGCCTATTATATGCCAGACTCTGCTTTAGAAGCTTCGAAGCCCGGGCGGGGGGTGTGCCTGAGTGGTTCAGTAGGTTAAGCATCTGACTTTGGCTCAGGTCATGATCTTGTGGTTCGCAGGTTTGAGCCCTGTGTCAGGCTCTGTGCTGACACCTCAGAGACTAGAGCCTGCTTCATATTCTGTGTCTCCTTTCTCTGCCCCTTCCCTGCTCACTCTCTGTCTCTCTCTCTAAAAATAAAGATTAAATTTCTTTTTAAGTTTAGAATGGGTAAAATAAATAAGATAAAATATGAAGTAAAATGTGCTGAAAGTATTATGTTCAAAGGGCCACAAGACAGAAATTAACTCTGACATGGAAGCCTTGAAGTTGAACTCAGTGTGCTAATGACTAGCACTCTGAAAAGAAAAGTCTTTCTGGCAGAGCAAATGTCATAGGCAAAGGTAAGAAAGTCAACTGGATTCGGTGTCCTGGAGGAATCTCAAATACCTTTCTGTAGATGAGGCAGAGAATGAGATAGAGGGGCTGTAGGTAGGACTGGAAAAACATACTGCTTTTGAAATCGATTTGCTTGATAGGTTTTCACATTTGTCCCAAGAATGGGCATATAGTAATAACTTTATTAATAGTGATACTAAAAAGTTCTTTACTGAGCACTTACTCTGTTGCAGACACTATGCTGTTTACTTTGACTTTCTCTGGTTAGCATAACTAACCTACAGCTATGAAAAGTAAACATATTTTCTAAAATAAAAAATAAAAATTAGTGAGAAGAGTAGCAGTGTTTTAAATTCTTGTAACTTTCCCCAGCTTTATGAAAGATAACTGGCATATAAACTTATGAAAGTTTAAGGTGTACAATGTGATGATTAGATACATATTTATGATTGTCACAATAAGGTTAGTTAACACATCCATTACCTCATAGTTACCTTTTTTTTGTGGTAAGAACTGTTAGCAACTTTCAAGTAAACATACACTATTGTTAACTATAGTTACCATGCTATACGTTAGATCCCCAGTATTTGTTTATCATATAACTGGGATTTTGTACCCTTTGACTACTATCATCCATTGTCTCCACAAAGCCCCACCTCTGGCAGCCGCCAATCCATCATTTCTATGACTTCAGTTTCTTTTTAGATTCTACATATAAGTGAGATCATACAGTACTTATCTTTTTCAACCTGACTTATTTTACTTAGCATAATGCCTTTGAGGTTCATCCATGTTGTCACAAATGACAGGATTTCCTACTTTCTCACAGATAAATAATATTCCTCTGTGTGTGTGTGTGTGTGTGTGTGTGTGTGTGTGACATTTTCTTATCCATTCATCTATTGACGGGCACTTTATTGTAAATAACACTGCAATGAACATGGAGGTGCAGATATCTCAATATAGTGATTTCATTTTTTTGTTTTTTCTTCATTTATCTGTTAACATATGGTTAGATATGGGATTGCTGGATTAAATAATTGTTCTTTTTAAAATTTTTGAGGAAACTCCATTCTGTTTTCCCATAGCAACTGTATCAATTTACATGCCTACAAACAGTGTTTTCCCAGATTGGGGAACAAATTTGCACTCCAGCCCAACTCCTGAACATAGCCCTTCTGGGAAGGGTGGTCACAGATATCCAGAAGCTTCAGAGTACATCCTATGAGGTTTATGGTCAGCAAGACAAGCCAGCAACCATGCCCGACTGTTGCACATACTCTCTGGCCCCAGATAACCAGGGAGCCTGAACAATGATCCTGAACAGCCTCAGAGTATAGCCTATAGTACTATTCAGCCATGGAGTTCAGTCTACCACCCAACCCAACAGTGAAGCTTAGCATACAGCTCTGCCCAACTGCTGAAGAGAGCCTGCAGCCTCATCCAGACAGGGAACCCAGCCAGCGACCCCTTGGAATCATGGAGCATAGCCTGTGACCCCACTCAATCAGGGAGTCCAGACAGCAATCCTGCCTGACTGCAGAACCCAACCATGACACCCTTCACCTGACCTGAGAGCATGGGTGGCCTTGCCCTACTAGAGACCACAATGTCAAACCCTGCCTGCCTACAGATGCTACCAGCTGATCCACCTAGTACTCCAAGCTAACCTGACTGGTTAAGGTCTTTCCTTCCCAACAAACCTATAAAACTTAGTAGAGGAGACTCTGTACTCAAAAGCACATATACCAGTGCAAGGATACAAGGATCACAAAGGATCAGGTAGACATGACACTATCAAAGGAAACTAATAAAGCTCTCATACATGACCCTAAAGATATAGAAATCTATGAACTGTCTGACAATGTATGCAAAAGAATCTTCTTAAATTGAGTGAACCTTAAGAACTATAAGACAACTAAACAGTATTAGGAAAACAAGGCATGAACCAAATGAGAAGTTCAACAAAGAAATAAAAGCAAACCATTATAAAATAAGTAAAAACCAGACAGAAATGCTAAAGCTGAAGAAAACTGAACTGAAGAATTCAATAGAGAGCTTCAATAGCATACTTGGCAAAGCAAGAAAAAATCAATGAATTCAGACAGATCATTTGAAATGACCCAGTTAGGGGGAAAAAATGAAGAAAAATAAAGAAAGCCTACTTCTTTTGATGACATGCTATCAAAAGAAACAATGTATACATTATGGGAATCCTGGAAGGAGATAATAAAAAGGGACAGAAAGTCTATTTAAAGAAATAGATGAAAAGTTTGCAAACTTAGGGAAAGAAGGTGGCATCCAGATTCATGGATTCCCAAATAGGTTGAACTTCTAAAGGGCTATACCACACTTATTATGTAAGCCTCATGGTAACCACAAAAGAAAAACTTGTAGTAAGTAGGTTCACAAAAGGTTATGATAGAGGAGTCAAAGCATACCTTTAGTAAAAGTCATTAAATCACCAAGAGAGACAGCAGAAGAGGAAGCAAAGAACAAAGGATCTACAACCAGCAGAAAATATGTAACAAAATGACAATAGTAAGTTCTTAACAATAGTTGCTTTAAAGATAAATGATTAAATTCTCCAATCTTGCAAATTTCTTTAATGTTTGGCTTAAATAGAGTTGATTCTAATATCTGCATTAGAAATGTGATATGTTGGTTCTGATTGAAGTTTACTTGTCATATATTGGGCCCTATGCTGAATGACAGAAATATGATAAACAAAACAGATATGATTCCTTCATTCACGGAGCCTTTGACCTACTGAGGGATCCAGTCCATCAACCATGATTACGCCAGTAGCTTCCTAACTGCTACTGTAATAATGACTCTGCAATAAAAGCAGAGGGTGCTGGGGGCACCTGGCTCAGTTGGTTAAGGGTCCAACTTCAGCTCAGGTCTTGGTCTGGTGGTTTGTGAGTTCAAGCCCCACATGTGGCGCTGTGCTGCCGGCTCAGGACCTGCAGCCTGCTTCAGATTCTGTCTGGCTGTCTCTGCCCCTCTACCACTCACACTCTGTCTGCTTCTCTCTCAAAAATAAAAATAAACATTAAAAAAAAAAAAAAGCAGAGGATACACTCTGCTGCAAGAGTGCCTGGTCAGGGAAAACGATCTAGGCTGAGGAATCTGGGATTAGGTGATTTGCAAGAATAACCATACTACAACCTTCAGAAAAAAGGAAAATCACATTTTCATACGTTAATGTAGTGTGTTCATTTTTTAAAATAAAATCCATTATTAGCAAACCCACATTGAAACGATCAGCTAGACAGATGGAAACTTTGGATTCCAAGCAGATTCATGTCTTTCTATCAGCTAGCAATTAGACATGTGAAAGCATATTCTTAAACCATAATGTGTCAAAAATTTGCAGTTTTTAAAGTAATACTGTCAGGCTGTGAAACTTGCAAAATTATCCAATTTTTTATTACTGCCTTTGATTTATATGCTCCCAAAAGCAAGGTCTAGAAATATTCCCATTTTAGTTATTGCGGTCACTGGAAAACATTGAAAACATAACACATATTTTTTTATTTCCTTAAAATTATATTAGAGTCTTTCAAGGGATCAAACTATTACCATATTTTCTTTGGGACACCGAATATTCTGCTTTCTTAGTAGCAACAATGACAATAAAATGAGTATTTTGGGATTCTGTAGATGTCTAGTTAACCCTCTTAATTTTTTCAAATTTTTAAAAAAATTTCTGAGAGTGAGAGACCGTGTGAGCAGGGGAAGGTCAGAGAGAGAGGGAGACACAGAATCTGAAGCAGTTTCCAGGCTCTGAGCTGGCTGTCAGCACAGAACCCGACGCGGGGATCGAACCCACGAACCGTGAGATCATGACCTGAGCTAAAATCAGACGCTTAACTGAGTGAGCCACCCAGGTGCCCCAACCCTCTTAAATTTTGAACCAGAAATCAGAGATGAGTGAGCAGCCTGTAATGTTTACTGGCAAGCACAATACAAACTGGTGGATTAAAAGGAGCCCGTGCTACTTCCTCTCTCCAGTCTAGATCTAGAAGCCACCTGTCGACTTCCAGGGCATCACTTTAACCCAACTGACCACAGAAGATCCCACCCAGCCTCTGTGTGGTAAACAGCTCTGACCCGGTGAACAGAAATGAAACCGGATGAGAGAGGCCTGAGGATAGGTGGGTCCTGAAAAGCCAAATGGAATCTGAGTAAGTGAGCTCTGTGATCTCTGTTTTACTCTCACAGATGGGTATCTTTACTCCTTCTCTTCCCCCTTCCTCCCCCTCCTCTTGTAAAACAGTGGAAGAGAGAAAAGACTAAATAAAGAACTTGGGAAAACAGAAAACCTGTGCTCCCTCCAACTAGTATGCAATCTAAAATCTGGGTCCTGGAATAAACAGTTTCTCTTATTTGTTACTTTCATTGTTTGTCTCTGTTTTGGCTAACACTGGAAGCAGTGGAACACAAAAGAACCTAAGAACCTCATCTTCTCTTGTCTTCCCACCTCCAACCAACCCATGAAATCTGTCTGGAAAAACTGACGTATTAGTATGGAATCTAGACTTCCAGAAACCAATCCTAGAGATGATTTATTTTTTAAAATAACAAGATTTCCATGTGGTACAGGGTAACAAGTTTTGTAATCAAAAGATTACAAAGCAGAAGATCTGCTTCACCCTCAAAACACTCTCCAAAAGAGTATAACCTTTCGTGAGTTACTTAACTTTCTGAAACACAGTTTCATCTACATAATTGGGGTGAAGGATGGTTAAAGTAATACTAGCTTAAAATCTTTTCTAAATATCAAATGAGAGAATATATGCATAAGCAATATTCAAATAAATCACTAAGTAAATCTGCAATTATTTCTTATTGATTACAACTTTATTTGAATGTAGATAAGAAGTCTAAAGTCACTGACATTACAGATTGTACTTTATTTGGTTTTTCAGAGTTTTCAGTGAAGTTCCTGGGGAAGAATACCTCTTAAAGATCTTCCTTCCTTCCTTCCTTTGTTCCTTCGTTCCTTCCTTCCTTCCCTTTGGGAAATGGGCTAGTCCAGAGAGTATGCTTTTTTGTATTAAGTATTGTGCTTTAATACTCCCTTGGTACTAAGATTTTTTTGTACCATTTATTTATGTAAAAAAGATTTTAGTGCTTTATTTACAAAATGCCTAATTAAAACCTGATTCATAATAATTCAGCCTTAACATCAGAATTAGAAATTCATGAAGTAATCTACGTACTTGTCATTTAAGACTTACTTAAATTACCTGAATTGAGGGCTTTTTTACAGTCCAATGCTGATTTATTATACCTTTGACATCTCTGTAAGGGAACCATGTATTTTACAAAATAAAATAAACTCAACTCTGATGTCCTCAAAATATTACTCTATTTAGTAAATGTTAACGTTTCTAAACATACACAGAGAGACAAAAATGGGTGTTGTTATTATTTTAGATTTAATTTGTTGTAGTTTTTAAAATGTTATAGTTTTTTTATTTAACCATATGAGTTTAATCCACTATCAGTTTATTACAACTTTCATAAGTAATTTACTGAATTGTTTCTTTCTCCCATTCTTCCTTCCTTTTATCTTCCTCTTTCTTTTTGCTTTTATTTAAAATTTTTTTAATCTTCATTTATTTTTGAGAGAGAGAGACAGAGCATAAGTGGAGGAGTGGCAAAGAGAGAGGGAGACGCAGAATCTGAAGGAAGCTCCAAGGCTCAGAGCTATCAGCCCAGAGTCAGCCGTGGGGCTCAGACCCACAAACTGCAAGATCATGACCTGAGCTGAAGTTGGATGCTCAACCGATTGAGCCACCCAGGCCCCTCCTCCTTTTTTTGAATCTTAGTCTACACATTTTCTTCAAATTCCTTCTGCCTGGCTATGTTAGAAATTAATGTGGCCATTGTTTCTGTCACTGACTCTATCTTCTGTTGTTGTTATTGTCAGGATTGTGAGTGTCATTCTCTGCCTCAAAATGAGACACCAGGCTTGGATGGCAAGAATACAGAGGCAGAGCCAGGAGGGGCTGACAGTGGGGCTGACAGCCACTACTTATTTTGATTCTTTCGGTGGTCATTTACTTGCTCCCAGAATAATGCAGCTTCAATTATGAATGTGACCACCATCCTGCTGCTTACCTTCTCCCCACCATTAAGAGTTGTCTATTCTCCCAGCCTCCACCATTTTACCAGTTTCTCATTTGTGTCATTCCATTTTCTCTTCTGACCTACCACGTATTTGAAACTTCTTTGAAAGGTTATACATCATCATTTTGTTGCTAAACCAAACTAATCTTTCTTTTCTTAGTGGACTAAACTCTGTCATTAGCCACAACTGACCATTTCCTCCCTCTTGAGTTTAGCCAAGTTTGTTCCTAGGGTTTTAATTTCCTATCACCTGCCTGGCTATTTTTCTCAGTTTTCCCATGTTCATCTTGTAAATGTGTGAGTTACATCACTGGCCACAGGGGTTGAATTAGAGCTATCCACATGACCTAAACCAGGTCAAATAGAGCCAAAGAGATTCCTTGCTATGACTTATGTTGAAACCATCAAGGAATAATTATGTTCTGTCTGCTAAGGTTGCTGGGCAATGAAAATGATATAAGCACAGAGTTGCCAGGGGTCAGAAAAATGAGGCTATCACTATAGAAAGCACATAAAAATGGAGTCCTGGTCAATTCATTTAGTCTCTGGATCCAGATGGGTCTGAAGCCTTAAATATACATCTGGATTTTTCCATAACTTGAGCCAATATATTTCCTTGATTGCTTGAGTGAGGTTTTATGTCATTCGCAAATGAGAGGGTTTTTGATGAAAGAATACTCCCTTCCCACCTATTCACCCATCCCCACTGAGTAAATATAATTTTTTATTAGAAATCTCTTTTTAAATGTTTGCCTGTTACCATACGCTCAACACTCCCACTTCTATCCACCCAGTTTTCTAACCAGAAACTTTGGCGTGATCTTTGATTCTTTCTTCTCCCTTAGTTCACCCCCTCATCCAAATAAATCATCCAGTCCTATTAATTTACTCCTAAATTTTTCCTTATTCCATCTAATTCTCCTCATTGGATAGGGGACACCACTATCTCTTGGATTACTTTAATCATTTCCATAGGTGCTTTGCTTGCCTCCAGTCCATCCTTTACCTTGTAGTCCATTATTTGCCTTGTGTGTCCAAAGTGCAAATCTGACTACAGTAATCTGTTTAAGATTTTGTATGCCTCTCCTTTGCCCACAGAGTAATTAGGATCCCACTCTCCTTACCATGGCTGCCATCATGATCTGGCCCTATTTACCTCTCCAGCCTCAGTCCCTGTTATTTCCTCTACCTCATACTTTCTCACATGGAACTACTCTCAATCCTTCAAATGGGCCATGCACTCTTTTTTTTTTTTTTTTTTTTTAGAATACTCAGCTTTAGACTATCCCTCTCCCCTGCACTAGCTGGTAAAATTCTGTGCCCCCAGAGGAACACTTCTCTCAGGTCTTCAGTACTCTAAGAGAACTTCCAAGTCCGAGTTGAATGCCTTTACTGGTGTCCTGCTAGCTTCTAAACCATATTTACCCAGTGTAATTGCCATTTACATTATCATTGGCAATTTATATCTTTCAACCTGAAAGAACCACTTGAGAGCAAAGATCTCTTATAGCAGTGCTACTCCATAACTACTTGTGTAAATGAATGAATAAGCAGTGATTGAACCATCAGTCATAGACTGATTGAATATAATGGACATTGAATCGACATAGATTGAGTTTTCTGCTTTTATAACTATATAAGCCTCTCTCCAATATATTCTAAGTAGATCAGTCTAAAATAAAAGTAAAAAAAATTGCAGTTTTCTGATAGAGGAATTTCAGATCATATTTGAAACTTTTTCACTTCCTAAACTCATTTGATTGATATTATACACTTAAAATTAGGCAAACGGTTTATATCAGGGCAAATGAGGGCATGCCCTTAACTTTCCAACCCATTTTCTTGTCAAAACTTGGACCTTTTGACCCCAGGTTACATATTCACGTTTAAGCTTTAAATAATAAAATTACAAAAGAGACAGGTTGATAGTTCATGAAGGAAGCTCTGCTGCTCTGTGATAGCTGACTGAGTGTTTTACGCAAAACATCACAGATGACAAGCCCCATGCCTCAAGCTACAGATCCTCAAGGGCGGGAGACAAATAGGGAGAGAAATAAAGGATGCCGGCATGAACCAGGGTTCACGCTTACTACCCTCCCTGACCTCTCCTCACCACACATGCCCGCACTCAGGCGCACACCTGAGCCTCACCTATTATTTGTTGGTTACCAAGTATGATTTCAGATTGCATATTTTGGGTTTCTTGACCACCTAAGAAACAGTCATTTAAATCTTAAAAGCCTATCAAGGAAATTTTCTATTTCCTGTACCTAATTTCCTTTTAAGGAAAATAAAGAACCAAATATAAGAATTAAATTCAGTGGGTGGTTTAGCAAACTGCAAAAATTCTCAACAGGCTTTTCTGAATTTACTGTGAATTTTAAAAAAATTAGTGTTTCTTTGTTTTTGAGAGAGAGAGAGCACAAACAATAGAGGGGCAGAGAGAGACGGAGACACAGAATCCGAAGCAGTCTTCAGGCTCCAGCTGTCAGCACAGAGCCTGACACAGGGCTCGAACTCACAAATCACGAGATCATGAACTGAGCCAAAGTCAGACACTTAACCAACTGTACCATCCAGTTAGTTGAATATACTTTTTCTTTTCTCCAATCAGTTCATCACAAAGAAGTCAGAGAAATATTTCAGAAATTCAAAACTTATCAGATTCTGCTTCAAACTCTTCAACATCTTCTTATTACCTTTGGGATAAAGCCCCTGCTCCACAGCATACCTCTTTTTACTGTATAACCTGACTTCTACCTCCCGTTCAGTCTGCAGCAATTTTGTTTTCTCTCTTTATCAACACATGCTGGCCATAGATGGCCTTTCACTTCCTTGAAGGCATCATGCTCTATTCTGTCCCAAGGCCTTGGCACAGACTTGCTCTGCCTAAAACACTTTGAAACTCATCCTTCTATTTACTTTTCCACTCATTCGCAGTTCAAATCTCATTTTCTAAAAGAAGTCTTCTCTGAGTTATGAGTGGAGTAAATCACCTTTACCCTAGCTACTCCCTTCCAATGGCCATGACCTTTCTTGGAAGTGCTTA